ATAGAAAGTCATGCAATATGTGTTCCTGCAAAAACATAAATGCACCCTTTGCAGGTCCAGGATATTCAAGATGGAATATGTAATAAATACCAACTAAAAAAACTACAGCTTTTGCAAAGGAATCAGCAGAAAGTTCCATAAAACTCTCTTTATTGCTTTGCATGAGGAGGACCTGTTTTCCTGGATTCACCATCAAAAAAGGTGAAGATGATGGTGCTTTTGCTCTTGCAGCTTCAAAGGAGGCATCATCCTGTAAAAGAACAGATCAAAAACAAATTAATTTTTCTAAGGTTTGTGCAAGTCACTGGTAGTTTATGGCTTCACAGTGTCCCTTTCATAAAAGTTCCTTACTTCAGTGCCAGACTTCTATCTCCTCTCAGAATAACACAAATTGGTATTGCAGTCTCAATAGAAAATAAAGTGAACTGAGGTCCTAGAAGACTTGTTTGAATTATTAGACACGAAATAAAACTGCCAGTAACAAATCAAACTTTATCCCACCTTTTACTGCAGAAAAATAAAGGGCATAAATACATACTTGCCAAAGCCCCATGGCGAAACAGTTATGTTAGCCACACTATAAAGTAACATTATAGCAACAGCTAACTCAAGCAGTTGAGGAACATACCTTGGCAACGAATATGAAATGGTTTTCTGCATCATGTACTGTAGCCCCATTGATTAACTTGAAAATTGTGGGAAGAGATCTCAAAGCCATGATTTGCTTTGTATCAGGATCTACAATAATCAGGTGAGAAGGTCAGCTGATTGTTACTGTCCAGCACAGTCTGTACATTTTTCAATTTTTAGAAGCTTAATGACCGCAGGTTTCTGTAACATTAATATGATACATGTGTATTTTACAAAAATCGACCTTCTGTGTAGTAACTTTCATCCTATGGTTGTCATCCTTGCATTCTATTTCACTGGATGTTTCCTTGAGAAGGGTAAAACCAGCAGCTCACCATGTGAAATATAATCTTGCAATAAAACCTTGTCTTAATGCAAAAATGAAATTTCAAGTTGCATATTTCAGGTTACCTTCATCAACAGATGTCAGGATCTTTCTTTTCTGGGCCATGTTGATAAGTGGATCCACAAGCTTTTCCCAACTGGACATCATCTCTTCCATGGACATGGAGATCCCACATGTTTGTTGAAGACAATTCAGCAGTTCAGCCTCAAACTGAAAAAGGAAATATCTTGTGAATATTACACCACATAGATATGTCAGGAATGTTTAGCTATTTAATAACAGTTAGTAATTTTACAATACTTTTTTACTTTTGGAAAATAATGTTTTCACTTAGTGCAAATGGATTTGACTTTCCTCATTGCCATTATACTGCATACAACAATATTATTACTTACCTCCACCTCATGACTTAAACACCTGTACTCTTGTAAAGACTTTGTGATTCTATTTCTGGCGTCAACTTTAAGCATGGCCTTTCTCCGTGCTGTAAAGGTTGCCCTCAGAAGTTCTTGGACAGTTTTAGTGCTCCACTTGCTCTTTGTTAGCTCTGATTTTAGTTTCTTAATATTACGCTCTGTGGAGATGGTATCATCAACCTCAATTGTAGGTCCTGTGTATGCAAGAGAATTGGAACAAGATACATGTAATTGTCTTTATTTATAATTTTTCCCAGCAAAAAGTGATGCTTCAGTGGAGTACACTTCTGTAACTTACTAGATCATGTTAATATATGTAGCAATAAGGGATAGATAAATTATGGTGCTATGACCATATACATGTAAAACTAATCTACAAGCTATGTTTTTACTGTAGGTGACCTATTGCCTATGCATTTGATAAAACATCATGCAAACTTATTTACCACTTCCTTGAGACCCCTCCCCTGACATGTTGCAATCTGGATGCTCTTCTGCTTTATCAGACTGACCACTTTGCATATTTTCAAATTTTCTTTGAAACTGCCTTTTCAGCATTGCCTGACAAAAGACAAGACATACATTATTAGCTTTAGAATCGGTCACACCATTTTTTTTGTTTTAGTTTTTCTGTAAGATTCCAAGGCTAGCTCCATAAAACCTAATTCCAGATGTTCAACCCATTCAAACCAGTGTTTGGTCTCACCAGCCTATTGTGGTACTGAACCCCAGACAGCTTGGTAACTTATTAAAATGCATTATCATTGACAAAATAATTAAGGGTTCACTTTGTTACCAAGCTATCATACTGTGTGCTTAGGAATACAGCACTTAACAGTTACTGCCTCAAATGACTTACGTTTACACGTACGGGTGCTAAAGGAGAATAGTGACCAGAAAAGTTACCATCTACAGCATGGCACGTGATTAAGTGGCAACACTTGAGCAAAAACACGGACCACTTTGGACATTCTATTGAAAACTGCTCTACACCTCGGGCTTTTAAAAGAAGTACCAAAAAAATACCCTGACTTGCATATTTCCTTATTTAAGCCTTACCCAATTTTTGAAGGGTTTTCCCTTGTTATCCACCTTCACTCCTGCTTGTTTTAAAAACTCACGTGGGTCCCTTTCTCGTAGGCAAGGATATGTCTGTATTAATTTTCTGGCCAAATATTCACACATCAGAGGTGTTGGTTTGTTTACTACAGCGCGCACACAAGTTGCAACTGTTCTAACAACAGAGTTTCTAACTTTGTTGTCCACCTCCCCAGACGCTAGAGCTCGGTCAACTTTCCGACCAAAATGCTGTGGCATCTTAAAGGAACTTGGAAATCCATCTGGGATAGGAATTCCTTGATCTAGTTTGCTTTGAGGTGGTTTTAGCTGTTGTGATACCTGAGGTACAGCTTCGTCATCACTTAACTCTGACATATCTGTGTCAACTGAAATGGTTGACTTGGAAGATTCAGCTGAACTTATGCTCGAAGTTCCCGGTGACGTTAGTGTCCTGAAGTGCTGCTGAGGAAAACATAACACAGACAGCCCTACTTTTCATGTTAAACGGTTGTGGTGCTTGTCATAGCAATCATCAATGAATTGTATGAAGCGTGGCATATTGTGTAACCTTACAAACTAAACAGTACATAACTTGCATGAAATTTGTTTTGCCAAAAAAATGGAAAAGGAAAGTATAGTTCACTTCACCTGTTGTGGGATACTTACCCCTCAAGAGATGAAGTGCCATTTTTTCATTGCTAACTTTGGGTTTAAATTGGAGATGCTATAATTTGTTCAAGAACTATCTGCCCTTCTCAGAGAATACGAAACTTAAAATATCTCAAACTATCACTCACCTCTGATACTGGTGTGCTAGGAGGGCCGCTCAAGGAAAATTCCTGGAGAACCTGCACTTTGTCCTTATCGTTTAAATAACTGCCCTCTTCCAAGTCGACATAATCACTGAACTCGTCATCCCACTTCTGGAAAATTACTTTAGATTGCGGCAGCAAAATGCCATCGAATTCAGTAAAAACTCTCTCTCTTAGGTCTTGTAAGTCACCTGTGGGAACTCTTACAATCTTGCGTCTATTTTCGACTTGCACCAGAATTCGAACATCCATGGCACTGCATGCATGGAAACTGTTAAAAAATAACATTAACCTTCCGTTGAAATGTCAATATAATATTTGCAACCACCAAAAAAGGTATAGAATTAGTAATCAGGCAGGCAAAGTCATCATGAAACTCCAAGCTCTTTGGCGCTCTAAAAGATGGCGCGGGCTCAATTATTCCTCGTCGTTCTGCTTATTTCATTTGACTTTTATTAAGCGTGGAGTATTTACTCATTTTTCAAGTTCTCAACAATCTCAAATTCTCTTCTGGTTTGCCAGATAGGAATATAGGATTGTGAGGTTTGTGTACACAGCTCTCCTAAACGGACGATTTCATCAGGACGAACCAGCCAAACGTGAGTTTTAATTAAGTCTGTCGTTGTTAACAACAAAATAAACGTTCTTTCAAGGTTTAACTAAACAGTAATTAACTTATACCACAGAAAAAGCACACTTACCGCTCAGTTTTAACGTAAATTAACACCGAAGACCGACTACTCGCCCGGCAAGCAAAAAGTATCTTCCTCAGAGACTCTGGCGGGAAAACAGCGAAGATGGCGGGCGCCGTCACATGACCTTATTGTTTCCAGACCTCCTCGGTCGTCTATACTTCTATCATGTCGCGGGTTTGGAAGTGCGGGCTGTGTGCTGGTGCTTTTATCTGCCTTTTTTTGAGCGAACTTCTCACTCATTTTTATTTACAACATGAAAATGAAGAAAAAATTTACATTAAATGCGGAATCCAGGGTTGCCAAAGTAAATACAGGCTTTACAACAGTCTCTACAAGCACGTTCGGTCCAAGCATGCGGCCTTTTTGAGCACAGCAGCAAACGAATTGACAGATGAAACAGGGATCAATTTCGATTTGGTGTTTCAACTAGAAACAGATCCATCAGAACCAATTATCGCGAATGAGGTAAGAGATTTGTGGACTGCGGGTAGTTTCTAATTTGGAATTTGGTCCTCGCGAGTGAGCGCGTATTCTCGCGGCTAACGCGTGTGTGCGTTCAGATAGAAACTCGCAATTTGCACATCTCCCCCAATACATCTTGTTTGCCCCCAAAATTATGCGTAAGCATGGCCCATAAGCATTGTCTTCAATTTCTCTTGGGACGACTGAAATACCCAGGGTAAATAAAAAACAATGGTTATGCAAAATTCAGGGGTGGGGGGCAACAAGGTGTATTGTGAAAGTGGAGAATTGAGCCCTATACCTTAGCATGAGAAAATTCCCATACTAGTTGAGGGACATTAGATTTTATCAGTATAATAATAGAGATATATTCTCAGAGAGTGGACATCACATTTTCTATGCAATTTTGAAGACTACTTGCAGCACAGGCAGACCATGCTCTGTTGGTATAGAGCTTTTTTTTTTGCTGTAAGTGACCTCAATAATAACCTACTGCATACATTGATAATTTTTGCAGACAAGCACCTCTTCAAATGAAGTGTATTGTACTGGTTTAGAGGATACATTTCATGATCCTACTGAAGTTACCAATGAGCAAAGTCCACCTGGTTTGAGTAACAGCACTGATGAAGAGAGACAGGGTGGTGATGGCCTTGCATCTGAGGATAGCGACTCAGAAAATGCCTCAGATAACAGTAAGAGGAGGAAATTAGGACCTGCTTTATTCTCAATTCATTTACAAGAAAGGCACATGTTAACTAGGAGTGCAGTCGAATTTGTGGAAGAGACAACAACATCGCTAATACGAGGGAGCCTTTTACATGTGCGGGGAGAGGTTTTAAACATCCTTCAAAGAAGTGGTTTAGACATAGACAATCAAGTGCCCATAATAGAAGAGATATTTGATAGAGAAATGAATCCATTTGAAGGAATCGATTCTTTCTGGCTGAAAGAGCAGTTTATTAAAAAGAATTTCCCCTATGTGGTGAGTATTAATATTATTGTATTTACTTCATGACCTTAGAATGTAGATTTTCATTTGACCTTAATTCAACAATAGTATTTCATTGCAGAGTAAAACTCTCACTGCCATATAAAAACAGTTTAGGTAAAAGTCTCTTAAATTTTGACTTTGTTATATAATATTATTATTGCCCAACTTAGAGGGTAATAATTTTTATTTATATTCTGTATTGCCTGCCATTAAATCCAAGAGTTTGTTCTCATTTTTTAGAATCCTCGTGAGAAAGTCATTGGTGAGAAATGGATATTCAAAGGACATGGCAATAAGAGAAGAATGCTCAAAGTAACCAGAAAATTTTATTACATCCCACTTCTGGAGACCATCCAAGAATTTCTCAGAAACAGTGAATTGCGCAGAGAAATTTTAAAAGTAAAAGTGTTGTATAATGATGATGGAGTTTATTCTTCCTTCTTAGATGGAGCTTTGGCTGAGACACATCCAATTTTTTCCCAAGATCCAAATGCATTGCAAATTATACTTTATTATGATGATATCAGTTTGACAGCCTCTAGGGCTAAAAGAAATAAGCTTGGCATGTTTTATTTTACTTTAGGAAACTTTAATGCCACCTTCAGATCTAGGGTTGATGCGATATCTTTGTTAGCTGTAGCTCAATATGAAGATATTCGTAGTTATGGAGTTGACAGAGTGCTGGCACTTCTGTGTGAAGAACTTAACCAACTCTCTCAACCAACAGGCTTTGCCTTCAGTTTAGATGGATTTTACCTTCCCTTGAGAGGAGCAGTTGTTGCAGTAGCTGCAGACACCCCAGCAAGCAATTACTTGGGTGGATATAAAGAGGGTGTAGGAGGTGCCCTGAGAAAATGTCGACACTGTAATACTGACTACGAAACAATGCAGAGCCACTTTGAGGAAGAGGATTTTCTTCCAAGAACCTTGCAACAACATCATCTTCAATGTCATGTCATAGATCAGTCGGAAAACTTGGGAGATCACCACAGCACAAACTATGGTGTAACTAGAAGGAGTAGCCTTTGCGACTTTCCTTTTTTTAATGTTATACAGCAAATGCCTCAAGACATTATGCACATCATTTTTGAAGGAGCAATACCTTACGTTATTGGACATTTACTTAGATATTACATAAACAATGATAAAGCATTTACCCTTGCACAATTCAACAGTCGTTTGTGTGGCTTTAACTATGGTTACTCACAAATGGCAGACAGACTCCAGCCAATCTCTAAAGACATGCTACAAGCTGATTGGGGTGATGAAAGGGGATTATCAGGATTTGGACAGCAAGCAGCAAAAAACTGGTTATTTCTGCGAGTTTTTCCCTTCATTGTTGGAGACTGGGTTAACATGGAAAGTGAGCAATGGGCAGTGTTGGAGAAACTACTTGCAATATGTAGCATACTTGTTTCACCAGTAATTCATGTTGAAACTGTTGCATACTTAAAGACATTAATCAAAGATTTTCTGTCTGGATTCAAACAAACTTTTGATGGAGTTATTATACCAAAGTTACATTATCTGGTTCATTGTCCCAGACTGATATTAACTTTAGGCCCTCTTGTTAACTACTGGTGCATGCGCTTTGAAAGTAAGCATCAATACTTTAAAAAGAAAAGCAGGAAATGTAGTTATAAAAACATCTGTCTTTCATTGGCAAAAGGCCACCAGAGAAGATTCTCTTCATTCCTAATTTCTACAGAGGAGTGCAGTTTTCTCTTCAAGGACTCTAATGGGAAGACAGAGCATCTAAGTGGAAGGGATTTCGAAAATGCTAAGAGGGTAATATCTAATTTTCTCGAGTGGGAGGATTCTCTTATAACAAATGTGTACACTACATCATGGATCAGTGTCCATGGTACAAAATACATTCCAAATAAGTGCATTCTTTTAATCAGATCTGAAAATGAAACACCCATTTTTGGGATGTTAAGGTTAATTTGGGTAGTTAATTTTCAAACTCTTCTTTTCAGAGTTTCAATGCTTGAAACAGTGGATTTCAATGAACACCTCAATGCATACAGAGTACAAGAACCAGTGTTAGCAGCTGGTTTGGATCTCGTTGTGCAAGACCAGTTATTGTCACATGAGGTTTTGCACATTTACAACTTTGATGGTGATCAATACATATCACCCAAAACTTACTTAAGTGACATTTTGAAATGATACTGGTGAAACTTTACTTCTATCTCTTTTGAATGGGTAATAGTCTGAAACACATTGAAGGACTTGAATTTTAAGTTTTGAATGAAGCGTTAGTGATCTAAAAAATACCCATGACAAGGTAAAATTAACTGAAATAACCATAAACTTTGTCAACTTATCTGTTCTTGTTATTGTTGTTGTCTGTACATGTGGCAGTACAGCTACCAGCATAGAGCTGTTTACGAGTACAGTATTTACTGCATTTACCATGTTTGTTCTTAATATTATGAAGGACATTTAATGAAAAGAGTGATTTGAAACTCTCAACTGTTTGCAATTAAAATTACATGTTGAATAAAGAAAAGGTACACCTTAACTTGGAGGAATGGTATCTAGAAATAAGTGTAATATGCTTTATTTAAGAGTCGAAGTTTTCAACGTGTCCTTAAATTAAGTTTATCCAATAGCAGCTCCCTTGACTTCAGTTTGCTGTTCCGAAATTAAGAATGTGGTTCTTGAATTAAAACAAGTATTTCTTACTTTGAGGACTCATGTTTTGAAGTAAGAAACACCCTCTTAATTCAAGAGTGAAGAGAGGGACATTTACCCTTAAATTAAGGTTGCGTTTTCTGCAGCAACCTTAGATTAGAATTGTTGTCCTTGAATCAAGAATATGAGTCTTAAATCAAGGAAGTGTGTCTTGATTTAAGAAGTGATTTTTCAAAATAAGAAGCATATTCTTAAATCAAGGATATTTTACTACTTGATTAAAGAATTACTCACTAAAAATGAGTAATTCCTTTTTGTAGTGAAGACTTCAATTCCCGCGCGATTTCAGTTTTATCTCGCAGTTTACATGCGGGCTTGGTTGGGAGTCAAATTGTAATAAAACTATGATTGGAAGGAATTTATTACGTTACGTCGATTGAAAGTTTACTTGATAATAACTCGATTATATTTTTAAAGTGTATGAAATCAATCAAACCTACTCACCAAGAGCTGCCATCGTTTCCACAAAGAAGGGACGCTTTCAGGAACTTGTCCGCCGGCTTTAAACGAACATTCCCCTTGAATCCTTTCAGCATGTCAGAGAATTTCCGTTGACTGAAAACGTTCACAAACTGCGTCTCTCAGTTCCATCTTGTAACCAAACATTGCCTTGGAACGGCCGCGTTCACCGCCATACTTTTCATTGATCAAACGATCGAAATGAGAGACAATCGCCTCGTCTGACGCATGCGCAGTCGTTTTTCAGCCCTGCTGGCCAGGGGATCTGGGCAAAAAAGTTCACGCATGCTCATAACGGTTTTCCGCCCTGAAGGTTTGCATGTACTCTTTGCAAACACCGACCGCAAACCGAAGTGGGATACCTAGGTTTTGTTTGGTTTCGGTCGATCGAGTCTGTTTCTAGACTTGTGATGAACATGAATGGTAACGATTTGTCAAAATTTCGATATGACAAGGCCATAGTCTGTGGGATACCTTCATCGCTGCCTGCTGCTGCACAAAGACAGAGTGGTTGCCTGGAGCCGGTTAACTTGAGCAAAGCATTAAACCAACATGCTAACTACGTTCGAGCTTTGAAAAATATGGGATTGAAAGTCATAGAGCTTACAGCGGACGAACAGTACCCAGACTGTGTATTTGTTGAAGATGCTGCAGTGGTGTGTGGTGACATTGCTTTAGTTTGTAGGTTGGGTCACCCAACCAGACGTGGCGAGTCCGCCAGGATGAAAACTGTGCTACAGGAGCTTGGTTTGAGTGTGGAAGAAATGGAACACCCTGCTACTCTAGATGGAGGGGACGTCCTCTTCACAGGTAAAGAATTCTTAGTGGGATTATCTAAGAGAACGAATCAGCAAGGAGTACACATCTTAGCGAAAACGTTCGGTGACTATCCTGTGACAGCCATTTCAGTTTCGAATCACCTGCATCTAAAATCCTTGATGTCGATGGCTGGACCTGACACTGTCTTGGTTGGAGGAAGTAGTGAAGCAGACGACGTTTGGAATGAAGTTGAGAAAAAAGCGAAGTTCAAGTATGAAAAGCTTACTGTTCCTGAGGATAAAGCCGCGAATTGTCTGTTTGTTAATGGAACGCTGTTCCATTTGACCTCAGCAGAAATTCCAAGAAGTTATGAAGTATTCAAGCAACTTCCCGATCCAAAGATTGAGGTGGAAAATTCTGAACTGCATAAAGTTGACGGCGGCTTAACTTGTTTGTCTATACTGATCTGAACTTGATCCCAATCCTCTTTTCAAAGTTTAAAGTTTATATTCGACTTGAAAATAGTGTCATTAGGCCAAGGTTTCAAGAAAGCTGTTGATTTAACAAAATTTGCTGGTTTGCACATGACGTCACGGCGGCCATGTTGGTGGTGTGTTAGGGTTAAGAACAAAAGTATTTCTCTCCTCTGGGAACTAAACCCTATTTTCATGTAAACTCTATGAGAAAATATTCTATTGTATTAACCAAAAACACACCACCAACATGGCCACCTTGTCACGTGGTTGCAAGCCAAGACTCATAGGAGTGATTAAACAAACTCAGACGATTGCAAAACGAAATTCCAATTTGTTTAATCATGACACCAAGATCTCTTACCAGTTTATCATAACTGAGACAAAATTGGTGATTATTAATTTATTTTTGATTAAAACAGAAGATCCTAGACATGAAAGAAAAAGGACCCACTTATGGGCAACCCTCCTATTATAGCTTGTGTAACTGTGCATACTGTCCAGTTACACGCATGAAGCAAGTTCCTTTGCTTTTATTTATTTGTTTATTTCTCACAATCTATGGTCAAAGACCAAAGGATAATCTTTAAACCATATAAAAACAGACCACCTTGTCCTGTCAATGCTGAAATCAGGGCTGCCAATTGGTGGTTTTCACTGTCAGACAATCAAAAATAAAATGGGAAACCTTTTGATACAGAAAGTCTAGAATCTGGGAAGTGAAAGAAGATAAATGTACAAAAAGCCTCGCCAAGAATCAGGTCTGTGCAATATTTCTAATGTGAGATACTTGGAAAAACGTTTTACCCAAATTTATAAAGCTTTGTATGTAGAGACAATATGTTTGTGTCCCTTTCAGGGGCACAAATATGGCCGCCAGAAACCAACAGAAACATCTGCTTTGAGTTTTCCTACTAATGCGTGAATTCCTTGCTTGAGGAACCTATAACGATTGAAGTCTGAGACAAGGAATTGGTAATGTTTTCAACCCACATAAGAGCTTTCCTTGCCGTCAGCTAAATGCCGCGTCACGCGAAAGCCTGGAAATTCAAGTGTCCTGTATCACAAAACGAAGAACCCTTTTGAACCGAAAATTTGTTTGTATATAGGTTTTAAGGTGCTGTAATACCACATGAAAGTAGAAACTCAAAAGAAGTGATAGTTTCTTAGTTTGAATTTTGGTGATGTCGTGTGAAAACCAAGAATAACCATTTAGATAAGAGACATTTTTACCATTATGCATGATAAGTAACACATTCACTCAAGAAGTCAAGAAAATTTTCTTTCATTTGAGGAAGTATGAAAGAACACAAGTTGAATCAAGTGATATTGTCACTGCCATTGGACTCTGTTTTTTTTTTTTTCACTAATTTGTGGTGAAACCAGTTATGTAAACTACTAGGCTGATATAACAGCTTGCATTTTGTAACTATAACTCTGGTTTCCCCACAAAATGACAGCTGAGGAACAAGCACAGAAATTCCATATGGATGCATGATGTGTCACTACCCATATCTGGGTGGTGCTTCTAAACGGTTGAAGGAAATTTCTCTTGTGGCATGACCAATCAGAAACACTACCCAGATCTGGTATAGAATTTCTCTACTTGCTCCTCAGACATCATTCTGTGGGGAAATCAGTGGTGGCATCATGAAACATCAGCTGTTTACTCAGGCTGGTAAATCATAAGCTTTTGAAGGTTTTCTTCACTGACTCAACTCACTAGGCTGCCCCAATTTGTGTGTCCCCCATGGTTTCCAGTAGCCCGTTTTTAAGGTATTATAGGCCATTTGCACTAAGAGGTCATGTGACATCATTTTTATGAAAGTGAAAGTTATATGATTTTTTTCTTCAAAAAAACGATTAGTGGGTCATGTGTTGAACAAAATAACAGTGATTTTGTTCTTCAAACCTGCACCATTTTCTTAAAATGAGTAAGTTCGTAGTTGGTCACGTGACCAAAATGTGATTTTTGAAATTGTGAATTAACCCTTTCTGAACACAACTTTTGCTCTTAAACTTCAAGGAGAATGTTGAAAAGTTGATGTGGGAACGTTTTTAGCACATCTGAGCGTAACTATCAAACGTTTAACAAGATCTAAGCAAAAAGAAGTTTTGGCCGCCATGTTGGAGGGCAAGAGTATGCCCTCCAACATGGCAGCCAATACAAATCATACTACTTTGTTGAAAAATCAAAGTGCCATAAAATATCTGCCTTAAAAGCGTTTCCCCTCAAATTTCGGGTGTAAGATAATTCCTATGTGCTCTGTCAATTTTTGGCATCAGCAAGATTCCAACTCGTTGTTTAAAGGAAACATTGGTCACGTGACCTCTTAGTGCAAGTGGCCTATTATTTGTCAACATTTAGGTCTATGTTGTGGTTCAATTTTATCCGTGGTTTAATTTTTATTTTCCTTTGTTTTTGGGCATGGTAATATATGATAATGAGTTTGAAAAAAAGGGAAATAAAAATTAAACCAAGGATAAAATTGAACCACAACATCTACATAGCTAACCTGTAATCCTGAAATGTAGTCAAGACCATTTCGTGTCATTAACATTCATTTAAAATATTTCTGTTCGTGGCTAACCAAATTTAGAAGATGTCTGTTAATATTATTCCCTCATTGACATCAGTGACTGACTACAAGGGTGGTTTAATTGCAAATCATAAAAGATAGTGGTCCGGCAGCTTAGCAGCTTTTGGAGTAAATAACTCAAGCTAATTTTGCAAGAGTGCACAGCTATGTGGAGACTAATTATCCAAATTACTGACCAAAATGATGCAGAAACATCAATCAATGAATAACAACTACTTTCTGAGGAATATCTGCTATGAACAAAAAGGTGTATCGAGAACAACCAAAAAACAGTTACATACATACATTTATTTGATAAAGCAGGTTAAGTTACATAAAATGGCAGCGAAAGGCTGATGTGGAGCTGTATATTAGCTGCTCTGCAGACAAGAAAGTTTGCATAAAAGCTATCCTAGCCCTAATCACAAGTTTTAGCTTAACGACAACTTCTCATCTCAGTTATTTATAAAGGAACAAAGAGCAGTGACCGGCATGACAAATCTGATGTCAAAATAAACACTGAATATAAAAAAGGCATCTTTACTAAATACAGTTGGGGTGACTGAGAACTTTGTTCATAATGATTCATGTACTTGATACTCAGGCATGGGAGGTTTCACGCCCCAAAAGTCTCAAGCAGCATTTTTTGTCTTGTCACACAATGGGGAGGAGCAATGTGAGACAAAACAAAAATGGCTGCATGGAAGACTACCTCAAACGCCAACGGGAGACAGGTCAAAGAAGTCATTTTAGGACAGAAGAAGCAAAATTTATTCCAAATTTTTACCAGGTTGAAGACTTGAAAAGAATATCGGTTGGAAGGGAGACAAGTGGTTTCCCACTACGAAACATGGCTGTGACAATTGCTGTTTAAAAGCACAGTTTTCCCAGGACATGTTTATTATGTTTCGCTTTTGTTATTGTGGTAAACTGTGACAGCCATAAGTCATCTGAAAGGAGTAACTTCAGTATTACCCCTATTACTTATAGGTAACAACAGAAAATCAGTGACAGAGTACAGAAAACATTATCAAAAGCTTTTAATAATCAGCATCATTCTGGTCCTAAAATCAGAACCACTTAGTGTGTACTAACAACATCGTACTTGAAAGACATTTTAAGTCGCCAAGCTTGATATTGACCTTACTCATGCAATGTCCTTGCAAGTTGAAATATGTATTTATATTCTTATCACTTGAGCCAGGGAGCTTGTCAAGATATGTGATGACAACTTGTCCTCATGGATTGGCGAAGGCTTGACCCATACTTTAGCATAAGTACCACCGACGAGGCCTTTAGTCAGTCTGCCTGGGTTAATACACAAGCAACCTAGGGTTTCCTGCAGTCACAAAAAAACAAAGAACTTTGATGAACAAATGTACAGTAGTAGGGAAGTGGTATATCCAGACATGAAGAGTGGTAACCAGTCTGTTGAAAATATATGAAATCAGATTCTCTGCAGATACTATTTTTCATAACAAATTGCAAAAGCGTGTACAATTAACACATTTGCCTTAAAATAGATTGTGATCAGTCAAAAAAAGTATAAACAAACTATACTGACTAATGTGAACAAGACTTGGCAAGATTAGTGCTTGTAACTGAAAGGCATACACAGACAAAGTGGTTAAATTGCCTTTTTGGAGCTCATCGGTTTATTACAAGGGACCGACAGAACAGGGTGGAGATGGAGGGAGGGGGGATAATCCAAATCTGCAGACATACTAGTGGAGTCCGGAGGCATGCTCTGCTGGGAAAATTTGAAAGGTGTCCTGAAATGGCTAGAAACGTCTTTAATAATAGTAATGCATGGCCGCATTTTATATGAATATGTTGCTGCTTTAGCTTGTGAAAGTCTGAAACTGAGATGGAGCTCCAAAAATGGTAAAATTGCTCCAATCTCAAAATGTTTAAGATAGAATAAACCATGTGCAAGGTGGTAAAATAGCTTCCACCTCCATCAACAAATAGAGCCTTGTTTGACGTTGTTGTGACTAGGCCACTTTGGGTCACTTGCCTTCTGATGGTTGAGTATTAGTCATTACTTTCTCAAACCCATTTGCTGTTCTTATAAATCACAGCTGTACTTAACTTTTAAATTATTGATGGCAATATGCAGAGTGATAGGAGAGAGCAGGAAGAGCAGTATTCAGTAGCATGACATCATCTCTGTGTCAAACAATACCAATCATTTGGAGAAATATTGATACATAAGCAAATTAATTGGGGATAGAAATAGAAGTTGGAACATAAGCCTTCACTGGTCAGCAAAATAAACTAAAAGACGATAAGGAATTGGCTGAGTCAAATTGGAGCTAGTAAAATTCGCTAATTGTGCATCACAGCCATGGACACACTGTGAGTTAAATTGCATCATTAAAATAACACTATATACTACACAATGTAATGTACCTTGGC